CGGAAGAGCCATTGCTTATGACCTATTTTTGAAGGTTAGCCTTATTTATGCTTGTTTGAATGAGTAGTTAACACCTATGGGACTTTTCTATGTACAACATTTAAACCTTTCTTTTATTGTGTAGGGTGAACCTGGACTTGCCATTGCAACTTTGCAAAGGCTTGGAGAGGATGTAGAAGACTGTCTCAAACAATTGTTATTTGGCACAGTGAGACGATCTCTTCGAGATCAAATAGCCGAGGAGATGAGAAGAAATGGTTACTTAAGACCATATGAATACCAAATATTAGAGAGGATTTCACTTATTGAGGTATAAACACTTCCTATGTATAATTTACTAGAAGGGTTTAGGTTCAGTATAATGCTGACTGCTTCTTAATCTCGTCCTTCTTTGGCCTTTTGATGGAAAAGAGGCTTTACCCTAGCAGCCAATTCTGGAAAACATATCTTGCCCGTCAAAACGAACTCCTGAAGGATCTATCACCTTCAGATTCTTCCAGAGAAATTAGCTTGCACCTAGTGGAGTCATCCCTGCATCACAATCTTACAATTGAGTGTGGTGAGGTTGATGGTGTTGTTCTGGGCTCTTGGACAAAAGTAGAAGGTGAATCTGATCATCTGTACAATGAAGCCGGTGCATATGCTGGCTACTGGGCTGCAGCAGCTGTGTGGTCTAACACATGGGATCAAAGAACCTTTGATCGTGTAAGTAGTTTGTGTTGTTCTCCTCCCTTATTGCACCATAGAATAGGTCATTTCTAATTGCACGGTATGTAGGATATTTGGTGGCCAAAACTCTAATTAGGTAACAGGCAAGTTAACTTTTTCATTAGTACCTTCCAAGACAAGTTAATTTTTCATTAGTAACTTCCAAGAAAGTTCAATTTTATTTAAATATTCTTGCCACATGACGTTTCAAATCGAAAATGGATTGTGTTTAATGTGAAATTTGACCTGCTAGACTGTTTTCCGTCTTGATATGTTAACTAAATGGTTTCTACTTGTTGCGTCAAGAAAGGGACAAATGAAAGCAAGATGTATAACATCTTTTCGCAAAAGGTTTTCTGCTTTTTCAATAGAATATCCTGAGAATTTCCGTCCTGTCATTAGTAAATATTTTGACTGGGATTATGGAACTTTAAATAGTTGTAGCTTTCTTTACACCATCCTAGCTAGTGACGCTACTTTGATTTGGTTTGCGTTTCATAACGTTTTCCCTAGCTACATTACAGGTCTTTAAATGATTGGTGGTTTCTTTTTTTCTCAAGGAAAATAAGATAAACAATTGTCAAATAACAAAGTAGATATTGATTTTAAGGCTTAAAATAATTAAGATCAGGGATTTAATTTCTCGTATGACTTCAATATTCAGGGTCAAGGGAAGACTACTTCACTCATTTCAAGTTATTTATGTACGGTTTTGCAATTTTAATTGAGAAAGATGTTTCTTGTTGAATTTTTCTGTACAGATAGTATTGGATCAACCTCTAGTTATGGGTGTTCATGTTCCATGGGAATCACAACTGGAGTATCATATGTGCCACAATAATTGGGATGAAATCCTCAAGCTGTTGGATCTAGTTCCTAAGGATGTTTTATATGATGGAAGCTTGCAAATTGCTTTGGATGGTCCAAAACAGTCTTCCGGTGTAAATTGTTCAATTTCTACCCACAACGAGTACATACGCTCTATCGAAGAAGTGGATGCGATAGTCATGGATGTTCCATATATCAAGATACTAAGATTGCCTGGAGATATCGTGTGCTCCTTGTGCCTAACATTGATGGAGCAAGAACTTGCGAGGAAATTTATATTTCTAAAGGAATACTGGGAAACTACAGTAGATGTTGTGCATCTTGTGGCTCGTGCTGGAATCATCCTTGTTGATAGCTGCAAAGTTTCATTTGAGGATGACTCCTATAGGCCATCACTAGATCTATGTCTGTCCAAAAAGGATGGAGGATATCATGATGATACCTTTAAGGCTTTACACAAGATATTCATACACTACTGCACAGAATATAAACTGCCTAACCTTTTGGATCTGTACCTCGATCATCATCAACTAGCCCTTGATAACGATTCGCTCAGCTCATTACAGGAAGCCATTGTAAGTGCTTTTCATGTCCATTGAGTCTTTATGTTGTTTATGTCAGTGCTTGCCATGTTTTATATATGCTGTATGATTATATTATAGAAGCTCTGTCCTCTTGATGAGAACTCAAAGAACCTGTGCATATTTGTAATCACTGGATATTATATGGCTGATGAGTGATGAGTAACTTTGCTGAACAACCATCCAACATGCATCATGTACGACACATCGAAAATTGTTTCATAAAATTTCTTTCTCGCCTTTAGTTACCTTTAGTTCTTCGGTTGAATGTATTCAGGGTGATTCTCACTGGGCAAAATGGTTGCTGCTCTCCAGGATCAAGGGTCGGGAGTATGATGCTTCATTTTCTAATGCACGTTCAATTATGTCACGTGGCATGGTACTAAATGGGGAACTCAGTGTTGCCGAGATTGATGAAATTGTTTGCACTGTTGATGACATTGCTGAAGGGGCAGGAGAAATGGCAGCTTTAGCAACTATGATGTATGCCCCAATGCCAATTCAAAAGTGCTTAAATAGCGGCGGTGTGAGCAGGCATAGTTCTTCTGCACAGTGCACATTGGAGAATTTGAGATCATTTCTTCAGAGATTCCCCACTTTATGGTCTAAACTTATTACTGCATGTTTTGGACAAGAAATTTCTGGCAACCTTTTACGAACAAAGGCCAAGAATGGTAAATTGATCCTTCAGAATAATTTTGTTATTTTGAATTTCATGTCCTGACTCTTTGATTGTTCAGCCTTGGCAGAATATCTAAACTGGCGTGACAGTGTATTCTTCTCTGCTGGACGTGATACTTCACTTTTGCAGATGTTGCCATATTGGTTTCCTAAAGCAGTTCGTCGACTCATTCAACTTTATATCCAGGTATCGTTTGCTTTTCTTCTGTGTAACACTGCATTCTTCCAATGGTATGTATAAGGCACTTAGACTGTGATATGAGATTCATTCAGTGAGAGGATTAACCATCAAACTTGGTCGTTTTACTTATAACATGGGCTTTATATTTTGATGTTATTATTTCTTATTGTGATTCCAGCGCCTTATATATACTTGCTTTGACTTTTGGTTTATATCTTTATTCAAAATGGCAAATAGCTTCTCATTTTTGAGATACCTTGAAAAAGGTGGGAAGGAATAGGTACTAATGCATGGTAGGTGGTAGATTGTCTCATCAAGAAATTTTTCAATCATCTAACTAATTTACATACCACTATCTCTATTCCTCTCTTGATTGTTGATGTAGATATCTCTGATGTCTTTTAAAATGGAGTTTTGTGAAATGGTGCGATAACAGTGCTAGTACAATATTACAACAAAGTGTAGTAGTTTGGACTTTGAATTTATTGAGTCTGGTATTGTGAGCTTATTGAGTGCTTCCGTGTATCCTTTACACCTGTTTGGTTGGCTAAAATTTTTTGTTTCGATGGCTTCGTAAAATGAAAGAGCATAGAAATTTCCTTTGCTTCCACCACCTACTTATAGTCAAGTTATGTTGGAGATAATGTGTCAAATCCCAGGGGTTTGATCTGGTAGTAAAGTCACCTTTTTGAAAGTAATTCCAGGGGTGCATACCTTTGCTCTTTTAATGTGGTGATCTTTCATTGGCCAACATAGATTCTGTGGTCATTGACATGACAACATTGCATTGGTGCAGAATAAACCTGATTTAGATATATTTACTCCTATGCGACTTGTGATCCATGTTAGAAAATTTATGCTCCCGGCAATTCTTGAGCAGGCTACAATGTTTTCTTAAATTTTGTATAGCAATATTTTATACTGGAAAATTTTCTTTGTAGGGACCTCTCGGATGGCTGTCTTTCTCAGGTTATCCTACAGGGGAGTATTTACTGCACAGAGATATTGATTTCTTTATAAATGCTGACCAGCCGACTGAGTTAAGTGCCATCTCATGGGAGGCAATAATACACAAGCATATTGAAGAGGAACTTTATCACACCAAAACTGAGGTGATTCTTCCCAGTTGATTAACTTTTTCTGATTTTATCTTTGGATTTAGATGTTTCCTGGAGAAATACTTTTGCTTCTGATGTGTTCACTGTTTCATTTCTGTCTTAAGTTCTGTAAAGACGTAGGGTGAATTTTTATGAACTGCATACCACTGAAGAAAAATCTTATCTGTACGATATACTTTTTTTTTTGGATAACCGGATATGCTGGACCAAGGTCCAGACTAATCCCGGGACCGGGAGCCAGCCACGTAATTTGGAAAATACGTTCCCTCCCCAAACTTGAGGTTCGAACTCGGGGCGGGAGAGACGCTTTGCGCCCCCGTTTCACCGGTTGAACTACCCAAGTTTGGGTTGTACGATATACTTTTCATTCATCTTCTGTGAATGGTATGTCAAAGAAGAAAGTACATATGGTTTTATAGAACGATGATGAATCATATTTTCTTTTATGTATTACTCGTTTTTTATGACACTGTTTGAGGGTAAAAATTAAAAAAGCAGCTGTTACCTTTATCCTGCATTGTCATTATAATTTCTTCTTTATCTCAACTATTGATTGTTGTGGGTTCTTAAGAATTTCACTTTTCAGGTGTTAAATTGTTCCTTTGGATTTTTTCCCAAGTTTTGTTCAGTGAAAAAATGTCACATACTCGTGCAGTTCGGCCACTGACCTTTACAGTTCTCCTATAGATAGAATTTCTATACTGCTCACTCATTTAAGATAAACTCAACCTAGGTAACTGGGCTTGGACTTGAGCACTTCTTGCATCGTGGACGAGCACTTGCAGCTTTTAGTCATTTCCTGGGACACAGAGCTGAAAAGCTTAAGCTGGACGAGCAATCTGCTTCTTCTATACATGGTGAAGGAAATATACAGTCAGATGTTCAGATTCTTCTTGCACCTCTGACAGAGAGTGACGAGTCTCTTTTTTCATCTGTATGTCCAATTATCTTATCATTCGTAGTTTGTTGAATGGCTTTAATTATGAAGTCCTAGAGTGGTATTGCCAGCTAAATTTTCCATTCTGCAATGCTTTTATTGATTTGGTTTCAAGTGTTCGTTCCAATGATTTCACAGAACTTTGTTTATTCTTCAGGTCATACCACTTGCTATTACACACTTTGAGGATTCTGTGTTAGTTGCTTCATGTGCCTTCCTTCTCGAGCTTTGTGGTTTATCTGCCAGCAAGCTTCGAGTAGATGTGGCATCCTTAAGAAGGATATCATCCTTCTACAAATCTAATGTGGGCACTAATATAATGCGGCAGAGGTTGGCGAAGGGCTCTGTATTCCATGCAGTATCTAGTGAAGGTGATCTAATGGGGTCACTAGCTAGGGCACTCGCTAATGAATATGTACATTCAGATATTTCACGTGGCTCCCAGCAAAAGCATATTTCAACCTCTGTTCTTGGCACTCAACCTCGACTCCGTGTAATGCTTGTTCTTCATCATCTGGAGCAAGCTAGTCTTCCCCAGATAGGTGTAGACATAAAGACATGTGGATACTGGCTGTTAACCGGTGATGGGGATGGGGATGAACTACGGGCAAAGCAGAAAGCTGCAAGCCAGCACTGGAGTTTAGTTACTCTTTTCTGTCAGATGCACCGGCTTCCTTTGAGCACAAAATACCTTGCCATGTTAGCAAGAGACAATGATTGGGTATGCTTTTATGATATTTCCTTTTATCTGCATTCATTTGTCCTTGTTCTTATCTTTTCTCTGTTGTCTGTAATGCCAGGTTGGATTTTTGGCAGAAGCGCAGCTTGGAGGATACCCATATGATACAGTGGTCAATGTGGTACATCTCTCACCCTTTAACTAGTTACGAAAATCATGAAAAGCAATCTTTGTTACCGCGAGAAAAGCTTTTTGTTACATTTTCTATAACCTTGTCATCTGTCAGGCATGGAAGGAGTTTGGTGATCAACGTTTAAAAGCTCATATACTGACAGTTTTGAGAAGCATCAACTCTAGAAAGAAAGCTACTGCATCTTATTCGGATAATGCTTTAAAAGACTGGACAAGTTCCTTCTGTGAGGATGAAACTTATGCCCCTGCTGAACTCTTTCGGATTTTGGCTTATTCTGAGAAGCTTAAGAACCCTGGAAGATTCCTTCTAATGAAAGCTAAGGAGTTGTCGTGGTCTATTTTGGCTCTAATAGCATCATGCTTTCTGGACGTGGCTCCTCTGTCATGCCTAACAGTTTGGTTGGAAATTACTGCTGCCAGGTTTGACAGATTCCTTAAGGAGTTGAATGCTACTGTACTGTACTTTCCTTACATTGGGTGTATCAGCAGTTCATCTGATATTTTGGTCTGGAATGTGGATATCAATTTATCCATATATATATATATATTCTATCTCAGTGCATTTGAAGTCCTCAACATTTGGCCTTTTTGAAGATCTTTATGCTCTTTTGAAATAGATGGGTTTTTTAACATTGACCTGCATTTCTCTGACTAAGATCCTTCTGGCAGGGAAACATCGTCCATCAAGGTGAATGACATAACTTCTAAGATAGCAGAAAATATAGCAGCAGCTGTGGAAGCTACAAATTCCTTGGCCATGGATGCGAGAACTGTTCAGTTTCACTATAATCGGAAGAACCCAAAACGGAGACGACTTGTGGTATCCACATCTGTGGATTCAGTTGCTTCAGCTAAGAGTTTAAGCACCTCAAGCGGTACACCATTTTCTTCTCACAGAACAGAGGTTGCAGACGATGGAAAAGGTGGAGATATCAATGTTCCAAATGATGTATCTAATGAGCCTGCTTCACTATCAAAGATGGTTGCAATGCTTTGTGAACAGCACTTGTTTCTTCCTCTGCTAAGAGCTTTTGAATTGTTCCTCCCTTCTTGCTCTCTGTTGCCGTTCATCCGTGCTCTTCAGGTTTGTCTCAAATCTTTGTCTTGCCAGTTATCTCCGTCATGACCACACTTGGCTGCGTGTTCACACTGACTTCTATCTATATCAATCATCATGGGTCTGATGACAATTTCCACCATCGTTTGGGCATAAGAGCGTTTTTTCTTCATTGTTCTGTTCTGCTGTGTGAGAAAACTGATAGTGAGCTTCTGCATTTGTGAATCATTGGATTGCCACAACAGAGAATTATTGATTTCCATATGCGAAATGATTACGTGCATATTTTTATTATGAATGAATATGGACTTCCTCATATGACTGATTTTTTTTACACTTTTTCTCCAGGCGTTTTCACAAATGCGCCTCTCTGAAGCTTCAGCACATCTGGGTTCTTTCTCTGCTAGAGTCAAAGATGAATCAGTTCAATTTCAGTTAAATCAAGCGAAAGAAGTCAATTTTGGGGCTACCTGGATCAGCACAACAGCTGTTAAAGCTTCTGATGCTGTTCTATCAACATGTCCATCACCATATGAGAAAAGATGCCTGCTACAACTTCTTGCTGCAACTGATTTTGGCGACGGGGGTTCTGCGGCAACATCCTATCGACGGTTTTACTGGAAAATTAATTTGGCCGAGCCGTCACTTCGACTTGAGAATGACCTGGGCTTGGCAAGTGAGGCTCTTGATGATGGTTCTCTTCTCACTGCACTTGAAAAGAATAGGCAGTGGGAGCAAGCACGTAACTGGGCCAAGCAACTTGAAACCATTAGTGGGCCTTGGACATCTTCTGTCCACCATGTTACTGAAACTCAGGTATCAAAACTTCATGGGCCACTATTATTTTAATTTTCCGAAGATTACTTGTCATTGCAAGGTTTAGGAATTAAATTTGGCATTATAATATTGCCCCATAGGAAAACAAAAATGATGACCCTACATATCAATTAACAACCAGTTATGTCCTAGTAATTTGTCCGTCCTTGCATTGTGAATGCTGCAAGCTGATGACTACACGTTTGGCAGTACATAGCAGCTGTACTCCCAATGGAAATTGTTTTTTGTGGTTTCTTTGTGCTATAACAATGAAGTTAGTCATATTTCAGTTTGAAGTAGAAGGAAATTTGTATGAGCTTTGGGGTGCAAAATATGTGCTTTTTATCTTGACAAGGCTATTTGCAAGGAATTTAGGTATTATGAGTATTCCATTCCTGTTTTATTGCCTTAGGTTGGTTTTTAAGCGGGGGCGCATCGGATGCCTTTCTTTTATTGTGTTGCATCCTTTACTATGCTAATGTTGGTTATTCTGAAAATCAGCCATATTTCTGAGTCATATCCAAGCTTTGTTTTTAACGTGTGTCTGTAGTCCTTTGTATAGTAATTCCTAGGATGCTTAGTGTTGAGGACATCTATTCCATGTCTTTCATATATAGGCAGAATCCATGGTTGCGGAATGGAAAGAGTTTCTTTGGGATGTTCCTGAAGAGAGAATCGCCTTATGGGGTCACTGCCAAACTCTGTTCATTAGATACTCTTTCCATTTTTTAAAACCTGATCTCCCTGTACCAAAGCATTCTTCTTGATTATCCCTTGGCAGGCGGGTTTGTTTTTCCTTAGACATGCAGAAATGGTGGAGAAAGATCTCCCTTCACGAGAAGTCTACGAGTTATTACTGCTATCCCTTCAGTGGTTGAGTGGAATGATTACCCAATCACACCCGTAAGTTATCGCAGACCACAATAAGTAATCCTTTGCATTTATGTACTGGGTTAATGACTTAATTTTACCAATATCAGGGTTTATCCTTTGCATCTTCTGCGAGAAATCGAGACTAGGGTGTGGCTGCTGGCAGTAGAATCAGAGGCGCAGGTGAAAAATGAAGGGGGATTTAGTCCAAGTGGTACCAGCAAAGACACCAACGGAAATAGTTTGAGTATTATCGACCGTATTGCAAATATTATTACAAAAATGGACAATCATATTAATTCAATGATGAAGAACAGAATTGGTGAAAAACATGACTCTAGGGATCCTGGACAAGCACATCAAAGAAACCATGTGTCCGATATGAGCTCTTTGACATCTGGTGCAAGCACAAAGACCAAACGAAGGGCTAAAACACCCATTTCATCAAGACGGCAGTTTATGGAATTTCTGGATAAGCCCGACTTTGAAGATGCACCATCTGCTCTAAACAACAGAAGCGAGGTTCATCTTCAAGAGGAAATCACGGGAATCGAAATGTCCTTCTCAAAGTGGGAGGAAAGATTAGGACCTGCAGAATTGGAAAGGGCTGTTCTTTCTCTATTGGAATTTGGACAAGTAACAGCTGCAAAGCAACTTCAGCATAAGCTTTCTCCAGGAAATACACCTTCTGAGCTGATAATTGTGGATGCTGCTATGAAGCTAGCAATGATTTCTACCCCTTGCAATCGAGTACCACTGTCAACGCTATACGAGGATGTTCGTTCTGTCATCCAATCATACAGTATAAAAGTTGATCATCCTATGGTCGAACCGCTGCAGGTTATTCTCCTTATATCTTCCCTTTTGCTCCCTTGGATTCTAATTTGTTTCTGCATGACCTAATATGTTTTCATGCGTATAGCTCTATTTTTTCCCTCAACAGATACCTAATGTTTTTGGCATGCCTATGTTTAGGTTTGTCGTTTCTCTCATGATATTTGGTGTCCGATGTTCTAGGTTTTGGACAGTCTATCAAATCTTTTAAATGAAGGTAGTGGACGGGTATTGGTGAGAAAGATAATTGCGGTTGTAAAAGCTGCAAATGTCTTGGGCCTTACATTCACTGAGGCATATCAGAAGCAGCCAATAGAATTGTTACGGCTAAATTTTCTT